GGCCTCTGTGACAGTCTAGAGGCTCTATCCTGCCTGTGGGGGCACTATGGGATCCAGGCACTTGTCACCTTCACCTACCGATTGGCACCTCCCGCAACACCTGGACAATACACACACTGGCATGCCACCAAGGAGATGGGAAGAGTTCTAAGGGAGGCACACTCCACTTCTTTGCCTTCTGGCAAGTTCACAAGGCATCTGTGAATGCAGGTAGGTAGGTGCATTTGTCACATGCCATGGTAACTCTTTCTCTGTGACTTCATGACCAGGACATGATATCTCTGATTGCTGACAGTTGGTCTTGGAATTTCCTTCATTGTGCATCTTGCAGTGGTTACTTGCACAAGGTTATCTAACCCACATTCATGAGTCTTCAACTTGGACTTTCCCCTTGCACACAGAAAGATACAGGAAAAGACAGAGAAGGGAAAATTATCAACCCCAGTACATTGTTGAACAAAGCACAAAGATGTCAATCTTCCCATGTGGTTATCATTTTGCTTCAGACAGGAACTTGAGATGGCTAGGGTAGATCCAGGACCCAGACCTGAGTATGGGGACTTCATAGGCTCTGTCTTAGGGCTTTTCCTACTGGAGTGACTGACAGTCTGCTCCAAAAGGAATCTGTCTTGCAATAGTTTCCAATGGCTACTTGGTTAGGTACAAAGTCTCTGTTCACATACTTGTAAGTATATCATAGAAAACACTTGTGGTTTTTTTTCCACTTTACACTAGGCCATGAGTATCTTTGTATGTTGATACTGTTTTCATTGTTGTAACTACATACCCCAGGTGTCATCTATAGCAGGCAGTTCCACTGATCTGCCATATCTTTTTTGATACTAGCCAAGCAGTCTTGCTAGGGAGGCTTTTACATAATAATGGGGGGATTGCAAAAAAATGCATTAAGCTCTTTTATGCATTTGTGTGCAATTTTATCTCATAGAACTCAGCCCTGCAGCCTTATCATAGCAGGAGCTGTGCTCTCACATGTCTTCACACCATTGTATAATGGAGGGCACTTCCAACAGCAGCTCAGCCTTTCGATGCTGCTAGAGCTGGATATAATAAAATTTTATTTCCATATCAGTCATGCTGTGGGGTTCATCCTGTGTGTGTCCTCATAGGCCGTGGCAATTTTCCAGGGCTGCCATAATACAGCACCACAGATGGAAGGGCATTGACAACAGATTTTCTTTTTCTCACAATTCTGGAGCCCAGAAATCTGACATCATTCCATTGGCTGGTGTTGCTTTCCTGAGGCCCCTCTCCTTGGCTTGTATGTGGCCAATTTCCATCTCTGTGTTCTCTGATCTTGTGTTGTCCTTGTGTGTGTCCTCACCACCCCTTCTTCTACGCAGTCTGGTCATGTTGGATTAGGGCTCACCTCTATGGACTCACTTAACTGTAATTACCACTTTAAGGATCATGTGTCCAGATGCAGTCATATTCTGAGGGACTGGAGTTTAGAACATGAACATGAATCTTTGGGAGGGGACACAATTCAGCACATAACATATACTAATCCCCTGCAGAAGATACATTCCTAAGACAGGAATTACTGGGTTAAAGGATGTGTGTACATAATATTGTAATAGCTGCTACACCTAGATCACTTTCCAAAACTGCTGTGGCAGTTATAATGTCAAAGTTAGACTGTCAAAGCAGTCTCTGAATGTAGCTGCTTCTCTGCATCCAGCCTCCCATGGGTGTTAACATTCATTTTTTTTTTTTTTTTGCCAATCTGATGTCTTTGTGGCAAGTAGAATCGCATCATTCCATTTACTTTCATTTCCCAACTGATATATGTGAGTCATCTTTCAGTTGTTTAATATCTATTAAGTTTTCTCTTCTTGAGTCATCAGACTGAGACCTTTGGCCCTGTGATGGGCTTTTTCCCACCCTGGAGTCTCCCAGCATTTCTCCCTTTGCTAGGTCTGGAATTGTTGTAGTTGTTTCTGAAGACTCCCTTTAATGTTAAAGACTCCCTTTAATGTTAAAGACAAAAGCAATTATGTTGCTTTAAGTCAAAAGCATTCTTCTAGGGTGCATTGCCCTGTGCACTGTCTCTAAAATGGGGAGCAAATGAGGCTTCCCCAGGCCCTTCCCTCCACGTCAGAGCAGACACAGCATCAGGGAGATTAGAGGGAATTTCATGTAGTCCTCACTGGAAGGTTCACAGTTACGACCTGTGTGCAATTGAACAGCAATTTGACATGCCAAAGCCTGGGGTTTTTGTCTCTACACTGAGAATGATTTTAAGGACTCACTGGGATAATGCTCTTCACACAGATGGTTAATATAGGGGAGCACTGCTCCACAGCTGGCAAAATCCCCTGAAGAAGACTTGATGGTGTTATTGGTTTAATCAATGTCTGCCCACATATAAAATTTTACTTTAAAACCTAGAACCTTGGCCGGGCGCGGTGGCTCACGCCTGTAATCCTAGCTCTTGGGAGGCCGAGGCGGGCGGATTGCTCGAGGTCAGGAGTTCAAAACCAGCCTGAGCAAGAGCGAGACCCCGTCTCTACTATAAATAGAAAGAAACTAATTGGCCAACTGATATATATATAAAAAAATTAGCCGGGCATGGTGGCGCATGCCTGTAGTCCCAGCTACTCGGGAGGCTGAGACAGGAGGATTGCTCAAGCCCAGGAGTTGGAGGTTGCTGTGAGCTAGGCTGATGCCACGGCACTCACTCTAGCCTGGGCAACAAAGGGAGACTCTGTCTCAAAAAAAAAAAATAAATAAAAATAAATAAATAAATAAATAAATAAAAACCTAGAACCTTTTTCTCCATAGACACCCGTGTCCTCCACATGCACATGTCTCTGAAAAGTTGTAGCTCCTGATCTCAACTTCATACTCCAATCATTTCTGGTGGTTCAAGTTGCTGCCATTGACTGTATGTCCTTCCTTGTCTTGCCAGCATGAAGATGAGTCCACCCTGCATCCAGAGGAGACCAGCACGATGTGCCTCCCCCAGCCAGGCAGAAGGGAGATGCTAGTGGGGTCCCTGGTTCCAGCTTTCCAGGGTCGAACCAACACCTTTTCACCAACTTCCTGGGCTTCAGCTGGGACTTCCCCACAATTCCACAATGCTTGGAGCAGCTGTTTATCAGGTAAACAGTCCCCTCCAAGGCACAAGGGTGACTCTCTCACCTACTAGCTCTGTCTTTGGGATGTCACTGCAGATCTGTGTCCAGTTTGCTCCTCTGAGAAGTGGGGTTGCCAACAAATGAGCTTCATAGCATTCCCGTGGGGACAAAATGGCCTAAGCCTTGGCAATCAAGGCTCTGTGGAAAGGATGATGGTCATGCTCTGGTTGTTCATATTTATCATTTTTCTGTCCCTCCCCATGGAAGAAGTACTCTGCCTCATGCCTCAATGGCTCATGTCCCTCTATGTTTGGATAAGCACATAGAAAGCCAACTTCTTGTCCCATTTCTAAAGGACTATTGAGGTTTCTTTCATCTAGTCTTTGTCCTTCATAGAAGCAGAACAAGGGGTCTCTTGGTGCTGGAACAGGGACCCCAGGCTCAGTCAGATATCTAGAAAAATTCCCTTTGGGGTTCAATCAGTTAACACATATAACATATAACCTCTTTGGGGTTCACTCAGTTACACTTGCGTTTTACAGGCCCTTTTCTAGACACGTGGCATAGTTTAATGAAAAAAGTGATAACTATCCCTGAGACTTGATTCTATTCGAGGAGTTAGTTAGACACTGTAGAAGCCGTCCCTGGGTTAGATTGGCCGACACCCAAAGTCAGCAGAAGGGAAGCACATTGCTTATGCTCACAATTAGCAGGACATGACTTGTTGACCAGCAGAGAGAACTGTTCCTCCAGGCAAATGGCCAAGGACCTGTGGTTTTGCACACAAGCCAAGGTTGTCTGTTGTCCTGTACATAGGACCAGACGTTGCAGATGGCCAAGAACCTGTTGTTTCGCATGCGAGCCAAGGTTGTCTGTTATCCGCACACGGTACCAGACAGTGAAGGACAGGATGCAAACATCTTCCTCTCTTGTGCTATGCAAGCAAGCCAGGAGTCTTGTTATCCACAAACGGTATCAGACGTTGAAGGGCATCTCTTGTGTTATGCCTAGAGGAACAGGTGCTGTTGGCCGGGGGAAGTCACATACCAGAAAGTAGCTGGGAAAATAGCTGCGGGAGCTTGCCAAATTGAACAGTATAAAAACAAAACGGCTGGTGCTTTAAGGGCTGCAGTCTTGTACCGTCTTTTGTGTCTGTGTGTTTTTGTGTGTCTTTCTGTGTTCAGCCCCCGTCCTGCAATTGGGCCATGACAGACACTCACAGTAGACATCATAAACAGGTCATTTTTACAGAATGTGAGATGTGATACTCTCAGGGCTTCCTCTAGGCAGGGAGGCATCCTCCCAGATTCTGAGCAGGACAGCAAAATCCAGTAACAACTAAAACACAGGTAGACTTTGGGAGGGGGAGGGCATTCAGTTGTCCCAAAATATGTGAGAATGTGTCAAATGCAACTGAGGAGACACTGAGAGAACCCTGGGTCGTACACATCTTATCTTCTTAGGATTTCCATGAGAAAGCTGAGCTATGGGACTTCCCTTACAAGAGAAAAGGAGTCAAAGAGAACTGTGGGTGGAGTTGCAGGCTCCCACTAATGGATGGGTGTGGGTCTGAACTCAGAGCCGACTCCTGAGAGACCCATTTCTAGCACAGTCACATCCCAGCTCTGCCTGTCTCCTCCATCCCAAATCCACCGTCCAGACCTCAGCACCAGGAGCCCTAGACCTGAGTCATGATGAACAGCCTGCTCACACATGTGCCTGGAGCCACAGTCCAGAGTGCTCAGGCTCATGGATGTGTGCCCTGGCCTGTCGTGGCCCAATTACAGGACGGAGGATGACACACACAGAACATATACATAAGACACAGACAGAATTGGCTGCAGTCTGGAAGAAAAAAGGACACAGAGACAAGAGACGGTTTCAGACTGCAGCATCAAAACTGTGCCAGTCATTTATTATACACAGTTTAATTGCGCAAGCATCCCGCAGCTATTTTCTCATGCCAGCTACTTTCCCAGCTACTTTTTGGTAAGTGACTTCCCACAGCCAACAACACCTGTTTTTCCAGTCAAAGCAAAAAGCATGGCCTTCTACAAGAGATCTCTTTGATGTTTGACAGTCTGTTTTCAGATAACAAACAATCTCGGCTCGAGTGTGAGACCATGAGTCCTTGGAGACCATGAGTCCCTGGCCATCTTGCAGGGCCTAGCACCGAGTGCTGGTTACCAGGCAACCTTGGCTCGCACACGAGGCCACAGGTCCTTGGCCGTTTGCCTGGAGAAACAGTTTCTTCAGCCGGTCACCAAGCCATATCCTGCTAATTGTGGGAACAAGCAATGGGCTCCTGTTCTGCTGACTTGGGGTCTCAGTCAATCTGATGCTGGGACGGCTCGCTTCAGCTCACTTCATCTCTCCCTTTTTGTTTTAATTTTTTGAGCATGGATATGTTGAAAAACCATCATAATATCATGAGACTGTTGTTTTCTCTTTACTCGGTGGTAACACCAGCATCTGTAGACTAAAAAAATACAAAGGGTTAAGAGACCTAAAAATCCTACATTAACTGCTATTCCACTAAATAATGTTTTTAACTGTGTAATCGTGTGGCTGTGTGGCTGGCTAGGCCTTGGAAAAACTCATTTTCATTAAACTCTGGAAGATTCTCTTGGAAGGTGCTTGTAATCTCTCGATCAAGTCTCTGAAGATCAGCAGTCAAATTGCGACTTCCAGTCAGTATATGCCACAAGGCCTGCCAACGTTTACTGCTATTAAAAGGGATAGAGGTGACACAGAACTTAGAAGAATTCCAATCACATGGAAGAAATGACTGAGTGGTCAAAACCTGAATTTGATCACCAAGCCACTGAACAGTGCTTTGTAAATGGAGGATCTCTCCTTCCAACCAACTGTCAATCTCCTGCTGATGTTGCCACAATCGATGAGAGTCCTCATGCCACTTGTGAATAAAATCAGCAGTCTGCTCTGAGTGCTGCAGTGCCATCCCTGCAGTAGCGGCAGTGGCAGCAAAGGCAACTAAACCTGCAACAGCAGTAACTATAAGACCTATGGCTCTCTTGGCTCTGTGGGTCAAAGAAGTTACTTTATTGGCCGGGCGCTGTGGCTCACGCCTGTAATCCTAGCTCTTGGGAGGCCGAGGCGGGCGGATTGCTCAAGGTCAGGAGTTCAAAACCAGCCTGAGCAAGAGCGAGACCCCGTCTCTACTATAAATAGAAAGAAATTAATTGGCCAACTGATATATATATAAAAAATTAGCCGGGCATGGTGGCACATGCCTGTAGTCCCAGCTACTCGGGAGGCTGAGGCAGAAGGATCACTCAAGCCCAGGAGTTTGAGGTTGCTGTGAGCTAGGCTGACGCCACGGCACTCACTCTAGCCTGGACAACAAAGTGAGACAAAAAAAAAAAAAAAAAAAAAAAGAAGTTACTTTATTAAGAAGAGCAGTGATCATGGCCAACTCACTCCAAGGTCTGGACAAGTTAACAGGAAGCCACAGCTCTGTTCTAGCTTTTAAAATATATAAACTCTGGCCACGGGGATTAAATCCTGCCCAAGAGGTGTGATTAAGACAAGTAAATAAAGAGCAATTAATAAGGCAGAAGACTCGTCCTGTGGACTCATTCCACTGGATTGAGCCCATTAGCAATAAGTAGGGATAGAATACACAGGCTAGAAGAGACCATGAAAGATTACAGTGGAGATGAACTTGAAAACCTACAGAATTATTAAAAGACATGTTACCAAGCCAAATATTGATGTGCTCTCTGGATGCCAACAATTTCCATGTTTGTCCTTGCATATGTAGAGTTCCCTTGTAATCCATGTGGGTTGCATCCAGGTAGGAGGGAAGGGAGGGAGAGAGGAGCACAAGAATGAACTATTGCACGGGCTTGCTTATGGGAGAGAAATGACATTGAAGGCCTTTAGCATTAGTATGGTGAAGAGCATGTTCAGTAAGGGCTTCTTGAACAGGGGCGACAAGAAGAGAATCAACACTTTCATTGCCTTTAGACAAAGGACCTGGTAATGCAGAATGAGACCAAATATGCACAATAAAAACAGGAAAGTGGCGAGCTTGAAGGAGAGTTTGCAAATGAGAGAACAAATATTGTAAAGTTATCTGGGGGTTACGTGGTAAAGAGACAGTGGGAAGTTGAGAAGTAACATAAACAGCATATTGAGAATCACTGACAATGTTTAAGGCTCAGAAAGAAATCTTGTAGCACTAAACACATTGCATACAGTTCACTCTATTGTACAGATGTGAAAGGAGAAGTAACAACTTCCTGTGTTGTAGGACTCCAATAACCTGCTTTTTGAGGGCTAGAAGCATCTGTAAAAAAAAAAAAAGTAGATCCTTGGAGAGGACGGGAAGCAATGGGAGACAGTGGGAGGACTGTGTGTACCTGCAAAAAAGAATACAGCTTATGTGGGGGATAATGGTTATCAAAGCTGCCACTGTAATCTGCACAAGCCACTGGCCAAGCAGTAGAAAATTCAAAGTTATCTTACAAGGATCTTGTCCAGAGAGTTGACGACATCTCCGACAACCTCTGAAGATCAGCTGGGCAAGTTTATCCACATATGTTAGGAGCTTTTTATTCTGTTGATTTGGTGAGAGTATCCATTCAAGAATTCCGTGGGTCTGTCCTAGACATCCAGAAGGGGAATGAAAAGTAAGAAAAAGAAACAGTGTAACAGGGAATGAGGGTTCAAAAAAGGCAAGGAAACCAGAACTGAGACGCTGCTCCACAAACTGTAATTCTTGTTCTGCTTGTGGAGTGAGAGATTGGGGGCTGTCAAGGGCAGAATCACCCTGGAGGGTAGCAAACAGGTGTTGCAATGCATAAGTAGGTATACCAAGCAATGGCCGAAGCCAATTAATATCTCCAAGTAATTTCTGAAAATCATTAAGTGTTTTAAGATTGTCTCTCTGAATTTGTAATTTTGGGGGTTGAATCTGTGTTTCTGAAAGACAATATCCCAAGTAATCTAAGGGTGGGGTAGTTTGAACATTTCAGGGGCAATAACCAATTTAAAAAGCTTAAGGTGCTCCTGAAGATCAACAAAGGCAGCATCATGGAAAGTTTGTGATGGAGCAGCAAGGAGAATGTCATCCATATAACGGTATAACACAACGGCAGGGTGCCGAACATGAACAGGATTTATGCCTCGATCAACAAACTCTTGGCACAAAGTAGGGCTATTTAGCATGCCTTGAGGAAGCACCCACTACTGATGTCTTTCAGTGGGGCAGCCATTATTATATCCAAGGTATAGTAAAGGCAAAACGTTCATAAAATGAAGGCTGTAGGAGGATAGTAAAAAAGCAATATTTAAGATCTATAACCATCAAAGACCATCCAGCTGGAATCATGGAAGGCAGGGGCAGGCCAGGCTGCAAATGATCCATGGGTTGGATACATTTATTAATCTCTCGAAGATCTGTGAGAAATTGCCATTTTCCAGATTTCTTTTTAATAACAAAAACAGGAGAATTCCAAGGAGAAGTAGAGGGATCAATATGTCCAGCATTAAGCTGTTCAGCCACCAGTATTTTTAATGCCTCGAGCTTTCCTTTTGTCAGACGCCACTGCTCAACCCGCACAGGTTTAGCTGTGTTCCACTGGAGTGGAAGAGCTTGAGGGATCTCGTGGGCGGTGGCAATTAGTTTAAAGAAGTGGATTTTTCTGAAGGCTGATTAGGATTAAATCCCATCTTTAACATCATATTCTTAACATTAGGGAAAGATGGGGAATAGTCATAAAAGCTCCAAATTGATGTAGTAAATCTCGCCCCCATAGGTTCACAGCAATGTCAGTGATAGAAAACTGTAAAGAAGCTGTTTGGCCTTCTGGCCCCACACAGTCAAATGTATCATTGCTACGATAGACATATCGAGCTTGTCCTAACCCAGAAAGAACAGTGGGAACTAAAACCTTTGGCCAGTCAGGAGGCCATTGAGCAAGACCGATAACAGAAACATCTGCCCCATATTCACCAGGCTCTCAAAAGAACGGCCAGCAATAGTAAGGTTAAGGACAGGCCGGGAACCCTGCGTAAGAGTTTCCCCAAACACCTTTGTTCCTGTGCTGCCAAAACCTCCTTTGCGGCTGGCATTTCTTGCAGGAAAAGGAGCAAAAGGCAAAAGCAAAAGTTGAGCTATACGAGTCCCTGCAAAAATTTGAGTTGTATGAGAGGCAGAAACCATGATTTGAATCTCTCCAGTATAATCAGGATCAGTAACTCCCAGATGTATGAATATGCCTTTAAGCGCACAGCTACTTCTGCCAATTACTAACCCACCTTCCCTTGGGGAAGAGGCCCATAGACCTGAGTGGACAGTCTGTGAACTCCACCTGCGGTGGTTAAAGTGTAGGTCCAGACCACAGAAAGATCCGCCACTACACCCCCCCTCCCCCAGTGGTGGCAGCATAGAGCTGAGTGACTTTCAGGGATTTTCTCCGTTGATGAGCTGTCCCATCACTCACCGGGTATTGCTGAAACTGAGGCCTCATATTGTTGTAGGGGCCCTAGGCTGAGGGCCCCCTGGGAAGTTTCCCGAATTCCCATCATTAGGAGGTGGCCAAGGGTTGCCATTCTTGTCAAATTTTGATCTACACTCGTTAGCCCGGCGTGGCCCCTTCCCCCATCGCTCACACAACCTTGAGGGCTGTTTCCTTGACGCCCTGGCCACAGGGCCAGCATTATCTCCCTGGCCCCACCTGCACCCTTTTCTCACATGTCCGACTTTTCCACAATTAAGACAGGTGGGCCGATTACTTCCCTTTTGAATAGCTCCAGCTAATAAGGTGGCGTGATAAGCAGCCCACCCACACCTGCACAAGCTCGAACATGCTCGTCCAGGGAGGCGCCGCTAGCCTTTAGAGGACGCAGTATCTTTTGGCAATCAGCATTGGCACTTTCCACAGCTAAAGATTGGAGAATAAGAGAAGCCGCCTCAGTAGAGCTGACACTCCTTTGCACAGCATCTTTTAAACGAGACAGAAAATCAGTATATGGCTCAGCGGGACCCTACATACTCTTTGCAAAAGAAGGTGCCAAAGTACCAGAAGTTTCAATTCTTTTCCAAGCCCTTAAAAATATCGGTTTAGTTTGAGATAAGGCTGGATCACCCAGTGCAGCCTGTGCTTCCAAGGTGGCATACTGGCCTGACCCCATGAGCTCATCCTCAGTAGGTGCAGGGGGTTGTTGCCAAGCATTGAGGCGGGACTGTATTCTAGCTCCCTCGACCCACCAACTACGCAATTGCCGCCATTGTGGACTTTCTAAGACCGTTGTTCCCAAATGCTCCCAGTGTAACGGGAGTAAGACATTTTCACTGGAAAAAGCATCAGTCAACCCAGTAACAAAAGGAGACTGTGGGCCGTACCCCTGAACGGCTTGTTTCAACTCTTCTAAAAATTTGTACTGCAAAGCTTGATAAGCAACATTCACTCCTCCCTGGGGATAATTTGGGTCCTGGCCCGGGCCAAACTCTTGTCGAGTAACGTGGAAAACGAAGGCTGAGGAAAAGTGAAAGTGGCTCCAGTTTTAGGAACCAGCAGGAGATTGTCAGCAAAGTCAGGAGGGGGCGGAAAATCATCATCGGGCCTCTGGGTAATTTATAGGCAACTTAAAAGAACGCCCTGCCAGCAGTGCCAAGGTTGGGGGGGGGGGCTGGTCTGCTGCTGAGGCCAAATTACTTCTTCTGAGTAGAGAGATAAGTTCCTGGACTTCTGACCGCCTAGGTAATTCAAGGGAATTTCCTGGAGGCTCTCCATCTGGCAGTTCCTCCTCCATATCTCTAGGTATTAAAGGAGACCAGGAATGCGGTGGGGGGGATTCTTGCCCTGAATCTTCATCTAAATCAGCTTTATCTGAGCTAGTTATCTCTGAATCTGTCTGTAAAAGGTGTAAAGCTTGAGTGATTGCATTACAAACAGCCCAGATTTTAAGTTTGATAGTGTCTCCCTGATGATGAGCGAGATGAAAAGCTTTAACCACTTGTTGCCAGCTATGAAGATTTAACTGTACTTAAGGCTGACACTGAAACCACCAACAGTGCTGTTGCACTAAAGCAAATAACTGTTTTAATGTATTTTCTTTTACTTCAACCCCCACTGAATTTAATAATCCTTGAAATAACTTCCTGTATTCCAGGTATGTGGCAGAGGGGTATTTCCCATTTTTTCCCAAGTTCAGGGTTCAAGACCCTCCAGGGTTCAAGACCCTGCTCTTTCCCAAGACTCCCCTGTCTGGTGCCACTCACCATTAGTCGAAGGGGTAATCCTCTGGGTCCCGCCACCTGAAAGGATGCAGCCTCGTACAGGATTCAAGATCCTCCAGGGTTCAGGACCTTGCTCCAGGGTTCAAGACCCTGCTCGCTGCGCCACTTGTTGTGACCCGATTACAGGATGGGGGATGACACACAGAACATATACATAAGATGCAGGCAGACAGAATTGGCTGCAGTCCCGGAAGAAAAAAGGACACAGAGACAAGAGACGGTTTTAGACTGCAGACGCCAAACTGTGCCAGTCATTTATTATATATAATTTAATTGGGCAAGTGTCCACAAGTGTCATTTCTGCCCAAGATTTTGCAGATCCGCGTATGGCTGGAAAAAGAAAAACCTGCCTCTCTCTACATAAAGACTGCTGCTGCTATGTCGGTGAATCTGGCCTTATGGAGCAGAACACAGACAAGCTCACCAACCTGATTCCTCCAGTGCCGCCTACAAGAGCTGTCACGAGTGGCAGTAAACCAACTACTTCTTCCTCCATACTCTCCACTACCAACCGCCCCTCCACCAGCCAACCCCAGCCTATAGCCCCTAACCACGCCCCCTCCTAGCAGGAAGTAGTCAGAAAGAGCAGCGCCCATGATAACCAAATGGCCGGGAATGCAAGGCTGGTGGCAGCCCCCCTCCTTTCCCTAGATAAAAAAAAAAAAAAGAGAGAGAAAAGGCTCACCAGACCCGCCAAGGACAAAACTGCCAGGCCCAGCTGAGAGGAACCACCCCCAGATTTGCACCCGGAAAAGAACAGTTTCCACTCCTGAATTCCACAAATACCTCCATCCCCTCCTAGTTCTCAACCACCGCCCAAGGGCATAATGGAAATCCCAGCTCTTCCTGCCAAAAGTCCCTAGCCAGGCCCAAAGGGTATGAAAGGCCTCAGCCCCTTCAAACAGGGGTGACTTCTGGGGCCCCCCTCTCTTGGGGCCCCTGAACCTCATCCAGGAGTGTACAATAAAGCCACGTGGCTTGGCCCCCACTCTTTCTCTGTCTTTTCTCCGCCACCGAAAAACCTTACAGGTATCATCATAGCTCACTGCAACCTCAATCTTTAAGGCTCAAGGGATCCTCCTGCCTCACCCTTTTGAATAACAGGAACTACAAGCATGTGAGATCATTCCCAGCTAATTTTTTTCTATAATTTTGTAGAGACAACTTTTAGCCCCAAATGATCTTCCTGCCTTGGCCTCCAAAAGTGTTAGGATTAAAGGCAGAAACCATCACACCTGGTCTATTTGGGCATCTTTAACATTACTAGCATGACAACCCCCCCTGCATATGATACCTTTTTCAAATCATTACACTCACCATCTTTAAAAAAAAACCAAAAAAACCTTATCCTTACTTAAAATGTCATGATTAGTTTTATATACTTTTGAGCTTTTTTGTAAGTGAGACACATAACATACCTTCTGGCGTCTGTCATTTACTCAACATTATGTATGTCAGATTTATTCATATTATTGTATATACCTGTATTGTTCATTTTTATTGCTGGATAATATTGCAGTGTATCAATATGCTATAATTTATCCATTATACTGCTAATAGATTTTGGGTTGTTTCCAGTCTTAGCCTATTACAAATAATGAAGCTATGAACATTTTCCATGTATTTTGTTATACATGTGTAACCAGTTTGTTTGTAAATGTAGATAAGCATGAAATTACTGGATCATAGACAGTATGCATGTTCAACTTTAGTAGATAATGTCAAACATTTTCCAAAGTGGTTATACAAATTTACATATTTAGCAGCAGTTTCAACTGTTTCACTTTCTTACTAGTATTGATAATCTTTTTAATTTTAGCCATTCTGATGAATCTTTAGTGTTAACTCATTGTGATTTTAATGTGTACTTTTCTGAATATCAGTGAGGTTGAGCACCTTTTTGTGTTTTTACCGGTCATTTTGTTCTTTGTAAAGTGCCTTTTGAAGTCTCTCTTTTTTTTTTTTTTTTTTTTTACTGGAATGTGGATCTTTTTTATTGATTTGTAGGAGTTCATTCTATATTACTAATAAAAGCCCTTTGTCTATTATATCTGTTAAAAATAGCACTTACCACTATATAGTTTGCTTTTATTCACTCTTAGGTGTCTTTTAATAACCAGTTGTTGATTTTATTATAGCCCACTTTACTAATCCTTTCCTTTATGCTTAATCATTATTGGTCCTTTTAAAGAACCTTTCCCTATTCCCAGCTCTGAAGAGTGTTTTCTCTATTATTTCTTGGATTTTTGTTTTGTTTTTTTCTTTCACCTTTAGATATACTATCCACCTGGAATTAGTTTTTATGTCTGAGGTACAAGTCCATTTTATTTATTTTTTTAATATCGATATCCAATTTCCTAAGCATTCCATGTACTGCAGTTACATCCCCATCATAAATCAATTATCCATATATGCATAGTTCTGTTTCTGGACACTCCATTCTTTTTCATAAATATGTTATTATCTATTCTTCTACCAATACCATGTTGCATTAATTACTCTAGCTTTATAATAAGACCTGATATACACTAAAATAAGTGCTCCAATTACATTTTACTTCAAAATTGTCTAGGTTATTCTTCATTCTTTGCATTTCCATATACATTTTAGAGATATCATTTCCAACCACAATTCAGTTTTTTTAAAAAACTAAACTTGCTAAATTTTTGTTTGCTATTGCATTAAATCTGTTGAACAAATTTGAGAAAATAGAGACTTGTCATATTTATAATATTGAGTCTTCCAATCAATAAACATGGTATATCCCTCCATTTATTTAGCTCCTCTTTATCTCAATAGTATTTAATCAGGCCTGTAATCCTAGCACTCTGGGAGGCCGAGGCAGGAGGATGGCTTTAGGTCAGGAGTTTGAGACCAGTCTGAACAAGAGCAAGACTCTGTCTCTACTATAAATAGAAAGAAATTAGCCAGACAACTAAAATATATAGAAAAAATTAGCTGGGCATGGTGGCACAAGCCTGTCGTCCCAGCTAATCGGGAGGCTGAGGCAGGAAGATCTCTTGAGCCCAGGAGTTTGAGTTTGCTGTGAGCTAGGCTGATGCCACAGCACTCTAGCCTGGGCAACACAGCGAGACTTTGTCTCAAAATAATAATAATATTTAATAATTTTCTGCATAGAAGCCTTGTACATTTTTTGTGTGATTTAGTCTAAGGTACTTGGCAAATAAATGCTATAGTGAATGCCATGATTTCTTTAAAATTTTATTTTTCAATTGTTAATTAGTAATTATAAGTTAACATTCAAGCAACAATCTAATTAACAATTGTACTATTAATATAATTTTTGCTGGCAGAAAACAATATAATTGATGTTTTATTTTGAACTTTGACCTTGATATAGTAACTGTAATAAATTTACTTATTATTAATAATAATTATTCCCTAAGTTGTTTTGGATTTTATACATATATAGTTACATCAATTTTTTTCTCCTTTTCCAATCTTTATATATATATATTTTTGCTTACCTTATCCCACTGTTGGGATCTTCACTATTATGATGAAATGAAGTGCTGAAAATAAACTTCTTTATATCATTTCCAACCTCAAAAGAAAAATTTTCATTATTTTATAATGGTTTGCCCTGGGTTTTCCATAGAAAAATTTTTAGCAGAATAAAAACGTTCTCTTCTATTCCTAATTTTCTAGAGTTTCTTATTATGAATGGTTTACTTTATCAATGCTTTTTCTGCATCTATTGAGATGATAATGTTTCACCTGTATTCTGTTTAAAATGTGCCATAGTCTTATTGTGTTTCCCCAAAATTTACATGTTGAAATTCTAGCCCCAAGGTAATCACATTAGAGTGGGGCATTTGGAAGGTGATTAGATCATGGAGGAAGAGCCTTCATGCATGGGATTCCTGCCCATATAAAAGGTCCAAGAGAGACCCGCATCCCTTCCACCATGTGAGGACACATAGCCAGAGGGCACCATCTATGAACCATAAAGTTGCCTTCATCAATCATCCAACTTGCCAGTGTTGACCTTGAACTTTCCAGTATCCGGAACTGTGAGAAATTAGTTTCTGTTGTTTGTACAGTGCTCAGTTTATGGTATTTTGTTATAGCACTCCAAACAGACTAAGACACAATGTAAATTACATTAATTGATCCTAAGTGTCACGCCACCTTTAAAGTCTTGCACACACAACATGGTGCAGTGACTGGCAGGCCAGCAGCTCCTCCTTCCCGGGCTCCGCCTCGGGCTCCTGGCCGTGGGCTTGGCCTCGACAGCGGCCGGGTGGCTGCAGCCACTGCCTTCCCGGCCTGCCGGCCGACGGCAGCGCGGCCGAGTGCCCGCCGGCCTGGCACGGGCTTCGCGCCTCTTCCGGCCTGGCGCTCGTCGCCGCAGGCCTCGGTCTTCCCGCACAGGCGCAGTGCAGCCGCTGCCGCGCCTCTCGCGCCGCCGTCCCTGGCCTGGGGCGGGGCGGCCGCTCGCTCGCTCGCTCGAGGGGCGGCCTGCGCCGGGCACCTGTTGGCGTGTCCCGCAGCGCCTCCTCGCCTGGAGGAACTGGCACAGGTGGAGCAGCACTAACAGTTGTAGAGCGACTTCCACCTACGGCATGATGGACACGTAATGTACGCGAAGATAACAATTAGTTCCTGCGTGAAGCTCGTAGAGGTAGAAAACTGACAGAAACAGTCGCTTCGACCATTACACTCAAACAAAAAAAGGCAGGACAACCTGCAGACGGGTGGTTTTCCGAGCCCTTCCCAGGGCAAACGACCAGTCTGCTCCCGGGACGGCGGGCACCAGGCCCGCAGGCTGTGTGGGCGGCCGAGGAGAGCGCGAGCGCGCGGTCGGTCGCAGACGGGGTCGCGCCCGGAGGCGCCCTCGGAGCGGCGCAGGCGTGTCGGGAGCGCGCGTCCTGAGTGCTGCGCGTGCGCCACGGGGAGGGAGCGCCGTCGGGCCGCTCCCAGACGGGCTGCACCGCCCCGCGGAGCGCGAGGCCCGGCGGCGTCTGCGGAGAAAGCGCGTCGGAGGCTGAGCCGCGCGGGAACGCGCCCAGCGGGGGGCGGGACGCTAGGCCGCCGCCCCGGGGCCTGCACGCCCCTCTCGGAAGAGACCAGGCCTGAGCCTTCTGGCCACTGCCGAGCACTGGCTGCAGGAAGCCACTGTGCTGCGGCGTTTGTCGTCACGGGCCCACGGGGAGCACCGCTGCCGGGACTGCCTCCTGCTCTCCCTGCAGCCTCTCCTGCTGGGCCGGTCGCGGCGCCCCGCCCTCTGCGCCCCGAGGGCACCCCGACCCCCGCTGCTTCCAGCCCGGGCTTCCCTGCGCCTCTGCGGGAGGTCACGGCTCGGTCCTCCCCAAGGGCACCACAGAGGTGAAAGTGGAGGTGTGGTCTGTGTGGGTTCTTCCAGATCAGCCTCTAGCCCTGCTTCTGGTCACGCCGCGTGCTCACAGCAGTTTCTTTCCTCCTCCTCTTCTGTTCCATCTTCTCTGAACAGCTCTGACTGTGACACCAGTGGGAAACCCAAGAACAGTAGGGCGCTCTGGAGAATGAGCGAATGGATGTTTCTGGGAACGAGCAAATCGAGTGCACCTGGGATGCAGAGTCATAGTTGGGTGACGGGAATTAGTGGTATGGCTGGGACTACAGGCAAGTGCCACCATGCCTGGCTAATTTTTTATATATATATTTTTAGTTGTCCAACTAATTTTTTTCTATTTTTTGAGTAGAGATGGGTTCTCACTCTTGCTCAGGCTGGTCTTGAAGTCCTGAGCTCAAAGGATTCACCCGCCTCTGCCTTCCAGAGTACTAGGATTACAGGCGTGAGCCACCATGCCCAGCCCTTTACTTCAATTTTAAAATTTATTTTTAATTGACAAAATTGCATATTTTTCCATGTGCAATATAATGTTTGGAAATATGTTTACATTGTAGAATAGCTAAATTGAGCTAAACACATGACTTACATCACATACTTATTTTTTTATGTGGTGAGAACACTTAAAATCTATTCTGTTATTTTCAAGAATGCCATACATTGTTATTAACTATAGTCACCATGTTATGCAGTAGATCTCCTTAACTTATTCTGTGGGGGGCGTCTTGGTGGCGCAACAAGAAAGGAGTTTTTCCTCCCCTTTGTGTGAAGTAGGGCGAGGCAATTAGGGAACAGCACACTTCTGCTTACACTTCTGCCTCTGGTTATCGCTTGGGTTGTGAAGAGTGGAGAAAGGGGGTGGGATGCGCAGGGGTCGCACAAGATACTGAGGAAATTAATCATTTCAAAGGTCAGCTCATGACCAGCGCCAGATCAGTTTGTGCGTTGCTAGTGCCCTTTGGGGATAAAAGGCACGCAGCTATTCAGGTGGGGGTCCTTGCCTAAAGAGAGCGACCACTGCGTTGGAGCGCGAGGGCTCGGACCCTGGCTAGCCGGACAATAAAACTTGTGATTTCACATCCTCAGTCTCTTTCCTTCTGTTTGGCGGGGTTGAGTAAGGCCGGTCCCTAACAATTCCTCCTATCTTAATGACATTTTTTATATTCTGATCAACATCCCCTTAACCCCACCCCATAAACACCATTCCACTCTTTCTTCTTTGGTTTTTTTGAAATGACCATGAAGGAGTGGCATTAATTCTCCACTCTATGTCTGGCAGAATTCACCAGTGAAGACAACTATGTTTGGGCTTTCCTTCATGGGAACATTCTTAATTAATTTCATATCTTTATTTGTTATGTCTCCTCATATATTCTATTTCTTCACATATAAGTCTATAAACATTTCTTGTATAATTTGCTCCTATCTCAGAATTTATTTCTAAATTGTAGCCTTCCATGTTTTCAGATTAACAAGAAAAGAAGAAACAAAAAAACTCCGGAGGCCAGGCGGGGTAATGAGGGTTTGCTAGGATTACCTTGCCTAATCCTCCAAACCACCCGGCTGTTACAGGTTTTCAGATAGGAGAGAAAACTGGTTTGGGGAGGGCACCCAGAGCCTGGGGGGCAGCTGGCAGCCTGGCGCCCCGGAGGCCCAGGTAGAGCCCCCAGGCCGCAGCCAGAGGCGGCTCCACTCCTGGCTACTGCAGGTGTAGGTGGCTCCGGCCGGCTGGGCCGCCCGCCCTCCCCCGAGACCCCTGGCTCGCAGGGCGGCGGCCTTTCTGCCGGCCGCCGGGATGGGAATGCGCGCGCTCGCCGGGCCGGGGACTCCCCGCGGCCACCTGCCTGGTCACTCCCCTCTGCTCAGCTGCCGAGAGCCGGCCCGCGTGTGCGCGGGGCGGGCGGCACCTGAGCGTCCAGCCGGTTTGCTGGGGGCCACCGGGGCGCACCTCGGGGCCTGGAGGCTCGGGCCTGTGCAGGGAGAGCCCAGCGGACGCTCCCCAGCGCCGTCTCTGGCCCGTCCTGGAGACCTCGCACCTTCCCCCAGACCTTGACCGCCAGCGCGCCCACACCCCTGGGACACTGGTCTGCTCACCTCCGCCTCGAAGTGGGCACTACCCCGGGGAAGATCCCTTAGACTCCGGCACGAGAACAGGAAGGGGGCAACGGTGGCAACAGAGGGGCACATCACCAAGTCAGCTACTGGAGGTAGGAACCGGGCTTCACCCGACGCACTCACGCCCAGCCTCCAAAGCCCAGCCTCCGGTTTGGGCCAAAGAGGCCAAGACCTGGGCCGGAGGTGCGGGCTGCAGAACCCACTTGTGGCGGCTCGCAGCTGGGGGGTGGGGTGGTCCGGGGGCGGGGGGTGGCCCGGCCGCTCCAGGAGCGGCAGAGACCACCACGCCCGCCTGGCCGTCCTCAGGGACCGAGAGCAGGAGGACAGAGCAGGAGGACGCAGGGCCTGGCCCCGCGGGGCCGTAACCCTCGACCCGCCACGCCCTTTCCGGGCTCCTGACGCCTCCGCCCGCAGCGCCCGGCCCCTCCGGTGCCGCACGCCCCTTCTCGCCCGCAGCTCTAGGGCCCCCCGCGCCGCTCAGTGCCTGCGGACTCCGAGGCAGCGGCGTGGCAGGCGGGAGGAGGGCTCGGCTGCAGAGGGAGGAGGGCGTGGCGGGCGGGAGGAGGGCGCTGTGGGCGGGGGGAGGAGGACGTGGAGGCGGAAGGAGGGCGCTGTGGGCGGGAGGAGGGCGCGGCGGGAGGAGGGCGCGGCGGCGGGAGGAGGGCGCGGCGGCGGGAGGAGGGTGCGGCGGGAGGAGGGCGCGGCGGGAGGAGGGCGCGGCGGGAGGAGGGCTCCGCGGAGGGCGCAGCGGGCGGGAGGAGGGCGCGGCTGCAGGCGGCGGGAGGAGGGCGCGGCGGCGGGAGGAGGGTGCGGCGGGAGGAGGGCGCGGCGGGAGGAGGGCGCGGCGGGAGGAGGGCTCCGCGGAGGGCGCAGCGGGCGGGAGGAGGGCGCGGCTGCAGCGGGAGGAGGGCGTGGCGGGCAGGAGGAGGGCGCGGCTGCGGCTGGGGGGAGGAGGGCTCGGCGGGCGGGGCGGGCGGGAGGACGGCTCCTTACCTGGACCGCAAGGGGTGGAAGGGCGGTGGCTTGGCCCCCAGCTCCTCGACTTCTCCGACCTCCATCCGCCCGGGGCGCCCGCCGGCCACCTCCCTCTCGCCTTGGTCCCTCCCCGGCTCCCAGGACCCCCTCCCCCACCCGGCCGCGAGCGAACTTTCCAGAGCGGGAATCCCCACACGGGACAGCTCAGATCTGAGCCCACCGCGTGCGCCTACCCGCACGGCACCGCGACCTACCTGCAGCCCAAGCCTGGCTCCCCACCCGGCCCAGCGCCCCGTCCCGCCCTGTGGGGCCCGCAGGAGTGGCCCTGCGACTGAGCCGACCCTGCGGCGCCAGAGCCAGGAGGGACCCGGCTCGCCTGGGCACCGGATGTAAGTGTGTGGGAAACAGTTGGTCAAAAGTGGCATTTTGTTTTTCCAAAGGGAAAGAGTGGCTTTGAAATTATATTTTTTTCCTTATTTACCTTACTTAAAACTGGTAGTGTCTAATTATTGTGTTGTGAACTAAAATGCTCACACACCCCCACCAGCTGACTGAATGGATCCCCTCTTTGTCGAAGGAATATTCTAGGGCTAAGTTGCCAGCCAGGAGGAGGGAGGTCAGACATGCCTCATCATGCCCCCTTCCTTCTTGGGGACATCCTTTGTAACCCATTAACAGGCCTAAGGGTATGCAAGACACACCTGCAGGCCCTCAATTTATGCAACGCTTATCTCTGGTAAACAGTTTATGTTATAACATTTCAGGTCTTTAGACAAAGCTTCATGTCTTTAGCCAATTACAATCTAAAGAATCTTTAAACCCACCTATAACCTGTAAGCCCCCCCTTCGAGATGGCCCTCCTTTTTGGGCCAATGTATGCCTCCCACACATTGATTT